CATTTTACCACCAATGCCGTATGTTGCTAATTTACTCAAAAGAATTTCATGACTCACACAGTCAAATTCTTTTGTCAAATCATAAAAAATTCCCAATGAATGATTGCGTCTTTCCAAAGTTTCTAAAATATGATTAGTCAATGTATATATTGCCATTTCTGTGTTACTGCCTTCTCTAAATCCAAACTGTGCAAAAGACATTAAATTGTTTGTATATATGTGTTGCTTTATCCTATTGTACACCAATCTTTCAAAAATCTTAGAAAAACTTATTAGCAATGATATTGGTCTATAGTTTGCCATAATTGCCTTCTCACATGTTTTATATATATAGGTCTTAATGAGGCAAAGTTCATTCTATCAGGATATATTCCATGCTCAAAAGATGCATTAAATATGTGACACAATGGTTTACTTATCTCAGTTATACGGTATTTCAATATTTTACTAGAAATCCCATTATATAATGTAGAATCTTTTGATTTTTGCAACATAAGTATGCTCTTTATTTCCACCTACGTTGTAGGTATTAGCTTCAGTTCAGGGAATTTATCAAATTTCAAAGTGTCTAAGAATTTAATAGCTTCATTTTTATTGGCACTTTTCGTTTCCAGATTCTCAGCTACAGTTATAAAGTATTTATTGAATACTTCTACTACTTTCTTAGTATTAGTTACTTTGCTATTCCCCACTTTCAATTCGGTTATATTATCTGGGCCCCTCCTTTTCCCACTTTCTTTATTAATAATCTTCCAGGTTAATTGTATTTTGTTTTCCGAGTTACTTATAAGTTTTTGATAGTACAATTTCTTAGCTTCTTTTATTACTTTTGTTAATGTCATACAGTACCTTTTATAGTATGATTCCAATCTTTCATCCTTTGATTTTTTAACTGAGTTGTATAAAGCTCTTTTATGATTGCAAGATGTTCGTATACCTTTGGTTATCCATTTATTGGTGTCTTTCCTTTTTTTATTCACCAGGGGAAAGCTGTTTTCTAAAACTGCTAAGAAGGTATTATGAAATTTATTAAATTTCATATTAACGTTCTCTTGATCATAAACTGCTTCCCAATTTTCATTTTGTAATGCCCGTTGGAAATGTGCTATGTATTCATCATTGATATCCCTAAATGCTCTTACATTGGCCCTTTTCTTTATCACCTGTAAATTTTCAAGTACTAAGATTTGTCCATCATGGTCTGAAAAACCATTTATTGCGGAATGGGTTTGAAATTTATTGAAGACATTCTTATCTAAGAAGAAATGATCTATAAGTGTGACAGAAGTGGGACCTATTCTGGTCAGACAGTCAATTATTTGAGCTAGATTATAAGTATTTAATAAGGATTGCAACTGTATTTTTTATGGTTTTCATCTTCTGACAATGATGTTCTAATATACTTGGAAGGAGGAATCAGGTCTCCAAAACAAGGAACAGATGGAGCTCAAGATCAGAATAGGTTTCTTGTACGTATTCTGACTGTAGGTGACAATGTTATCAAGAAATTACTCAATACCAGAGGTTTGAGACAAGAGCATGTGAAGGCATGGTAGTTGCAGTTGCTTGTCACCAGGGTTACTTTCTCCAACTTATGAAACATCTATTGATGCTCATGTCAGCAACTGGAATATATTATTCCAGTAATTCAATAACTGCTCTCTGCAAATTTCCAGGGCTGGTATGAGCAGGATATTACAAAGCAAAGATGAAGAAACATTACTTTCCTAATGACTTACTGATGGGTCAGTAGCTTAATCTTCCTCTTTGTGGCCCTCTGCCTGGCTGCTTCAGTCATCAACGTGTTTCTTCACCTACACCACCAAGGAATGTAAATTCTTGTGAGACATCTCACAATACCATCTACAATTCGTTGATAGTGAAGTGAACAACCAGTACACCTAATCCACTCAAAGTCAATGGTGCTCTTAATAGCAGCTGTGATATGCTGCTCCACTGAATTCAAGTGGGCCACCTTTGCCATCATATGCTCCATTAGAGTTACAGCAGTACCAACAGGCCCCACAAGCTTCTCAGAAAGATAGGTCAGAGACTGTTCTGTATTACTGCACTCCTTGAAATATATGAACACATTGGCTGATAGCAGCACTTCAGATGTCAGGCATGTCTTGCATGCATCACAGCTGACACATAGAAGAACCTGTCTGACAATAGAACCACTGATGTAAGCTACTGAGAACACTTCCATGTCACCAGCTGGTACTGCAGTACTCATGTCCATCTGTTCTTGCTGAGCAACATGGAAACTCTCAGGCACACCAGCAGGAGTTTCCTTGTCATGACTTGTGGAAAGATTTCATGAAGCAGCATCAGGTTCCCGGAGGAACGATTGTAGGTTATCCAGAAGAGTAGCACCATGATCCTCACAATTAGTTCCACCCCCCTTCCCCCGGCCACTACAAGAAAGGCCATTGATGATGCTAGTCTTCAGGGCATCTACAAACTGTCCCACTGTTGGGTTAGAACCACAGTTCAAACGAATAGCCCCAAATATGTTCTCAAGGGGATCCTGATTCAGGCTTCGGGTGTGAAGGTACTTAAAACCAACCCTCTTTCAGTGTCCTCCACACATGCTGGGCAGCAGTGATGTCAATTAGCCACCCATTCTGTGAAGGAGGAGGATGAAGAAAGGCGGGTTTACCATCCTTGAGGAAGATCCAACTATTTATCCCCATACTTGCCATTTTCAAGTGCTCTATATGGGGACTGATATCGTTGAGCAGGCAATGCAGTGTTTTCCAAGGGTCAACACACATTCCACCATTGAAACTATCAAAGAGGCTGTCAACCTCTTCAACAAACGCAGCTGTCGTCAGGTATTCACTGCAGCACCCTGCTGAAAGAACATTAAAAAGGAAGTTTCTTTTTTTTTTATTGTTAGTGGGGTGGGACTAAGTCCCTTGTACTGTGGCAAATTCTGGCCTATTGTACCAGCCCCAGAGGATAGGTGAGGGTGATTGTGGAGAAATTGGTGGACTGAAGATTGGCAGGGGAAACCGAAGTACTCGGAGAAAACCCGCCCCAATGCCACTTTGTCCATCACAAATCCCACTTGACCAGACCCGGGATCGAACCCGGGCCGCCGCGGTGGGAAGCCAGCGACTAACCGCTTGAGATATGGCACGGCCCTAAAAAGGAAGTCAGTGAGCTTCCTTACATAATGGACTACCATAGTTATTCAGACCAGAAAATAACACACTTTGCTAAGGACTGCCATAGAAAAGAATTTGTGAATTTGATTACTATTCCTCATAGCAAAGACTGTGCCACCTCTTTCTCTCTTAAATCATATTACTGATAGTGTGTTCTGCTTTTCAGATAATTTTAATTACATTAAAAGCATCAGTATTGTGACATATTCCATGTAACCTTTATATTCATATACAGATTTGTAATAAATGACGAAAATAATGTTTTGTTTGAGAACTGGGTTCTGGGGATAATAATTTTGAAAACTAGAGGAACGAGGATAACAAATCAAAACATGAGTCAGGAGGTACACATTCTAAATTTTTGGGTTATGTTGAATAAACTGAACACAGACATATACTAAACTTAATTTACTCATTGGATTAAGCAACACATAATAACGTAATTACACCATGAATTAAAACAGACATACCGTGCTGGATCCCTTGGAAAGCTGAAGAATCTGATGCGTTTATACTGCAAGAAGCAATACAAAAATTATGACACCATCAGGGTACTCTTAGAACTCCTTCTAAGATTCTACAATCTTTGAGCTTAACCGAAAGAAAGTTGCACAACATACCATAAAAATTGTGTTGTGGTGTAACGACTTCCGTACATAATGTAGGTGGGCCAATGGAACTGGGCATGTCGGCTCAGTTTGATGCCACAAAGTGCGGATAAGTATAGGGCTGAAATCAGCCGTGTATTTTGGGTTGTCAGCAACACTGTATGCCCGCAGTGCTCTACTGTTTTGTACATTCTTGTAGTGCGTTATATTGTGTTTTGTTCTCATTAAATCGTTATTATTATATGGTCGATCATTTTAACTGACAGGCCCTCTGCTGCGAGCTTGGATTCCCTGCGGCGACCTTAGGGAGTATTGTGAACACGACGCGAGAGCCTGTGACGAAGAACCGCTCCCGACTTCACGATGGTTTTAGGTGGTAGGGTGAAGACGGGAGTAGCAGCGGTTCAAGATGACAGTTCTTCATAACCTCAAAAATACTGGGCTTGAAAGAATGCTATATATTTCTAATTTAATTTTTGGTAGTAAGCATAACACTCATATACACAAAAAATATATTTAACATGGAGATGTAACTTCGTTCGCAAATGTCTACTTCCGTTTCGCAACCACAACAAATCAAAATTCATACTTACCAATTTCCATATAATGGACCACCATAACCGCATATAATTGTGGGAATTCAAATTGGTTTGTTTAGGCTCTCTGATGGGTCGAGATTTGTGAGCCTCCACACATTGAGGCAGTAGTTACCGCATTAATAGGGTTTATTACTTTTTCCATCGTCCGGAATTTTAGGTAATAGAGGACACAACATTTCGGAAACTGGATCTGTTTCGGTCTTCAGGTGAGAAAGGAAGACACGTACTCAGTTGGGCCCCTTAGAAAAGCTTATCTCAAGGTGTCTTCCTTTCTCACCTGAAGACGGAAACAGATCCAGTTTCCGAAAAGTCGTGTCCTCTATTACCTAAAATTCCAGACGACGGAAAAAGTCCAAAACCTCAGTAATTCCGTGTGTCATCCACCATCGTCAGAACCCTTTAGAATCTACTAATAGTTACGATGTTTCACCTTCTCCTATGCCAGTTTCTACCCTCTCCCCTCCGGTCTAGACCGTTTTATAATTACCGTGTACACCTGCCTGTTACGTAATCGCCGGGTACACTTGTTACCGCTTGTTACGTATTCGATCAACAGCGTTACTACCGTTACTATGGTTACGGGTACACTTGTTACGCTTGTTACCGCTTGTTACGTAATCGATCAACAGCGTTACGAGCGTTACTACCGTTGTAGGTGTTGCTGGCCGCTCAGTTTGTGGTGTTGTGTGGTCGAAGAAGGTGTGATTGTGATACCCTGTTTCTCACCTATTGGGATTATTGTGTTGTTGAGGAAAGATCGCTTGTACGAGAAGCAATATTTTGGATTATCGCACGTGTAAATTAGGTACGTAATATGTGTTAAACGTCCAGCTTAATTGTTATTTGTCACAGGATTGTTCGAAGTACATTTCCTTGTCCAATAAAAATGTACATCGGTGCGTTTGCTGTCGGTGCCTGTCATTAGTGTATGGTATTTATAATTAACTGCAGGATTACATTATTTTAGTTTATTGTCGCCATGAGTTACTTGTTTTCACATGTTGGTGTTCATAGCTCTTTTGATTATGCGCCAGTCATGTCTGTTATCCCTTCGGTTAGAATATTGCTGGGAGGCTTATTCGATATTGAGAGACATTTTCTATCTAATCATAGAAGAATCAGTTCATATCTTAATTTTTTCTATTATTGTTCATCATTACAGTTTTATGAATTCCGTCGGTGTGCTCTGTGTTCTTGTTGATGCTGTGGAGTTTGTTCTCTGCTTGATCTGAACCTATGTGTTGTTTGGGGGGGTGGTTATGCTTTTTTATAACAGATTATCAACTTCATCCAGTGTGATTGATACATGTTTTTTTTTATCTGTCATCCTTGACTTGTTTTGGTCTGAGAGACCATCTTCAGAATGACATATCAGTACAAGCAGAAACTACTATTACAATGTGATTGGTCAATATCAATACATACATACAATATCATTACAATGTCATGAATATAATATCTGAGCCTTTAACAACTACAGCAGTGTGCATGAATATATTAAAATATTTATAAATTATTATAATTAGTTTGTTTATAAGTTTGGTTTAAAAAGACTTTGTTGAAATTTAGAACCAATTTGGTTTGTGTCCTTTATACTGTTCAGGTAATCTGTTTTGTTCCTTCCCCATGCTAAATTGTAAGTTTGTTTGGATGTTTTTCAATTCTTGTAGTGGAAGATTTATGTGGGTAAGTTTTCCTTTGGATATTATAAATATGTCATCTACATACCTGAAGCAGCCAATTATTTTGTCTTTTGCAAGGCTTTTATGCGTGTGTCGTTGTGTTCTAGGAACTTCTAAAAAATATTTCAGCTAGGATTGCCGAGGATGATGCTCCCATTGCCAGCCCATCTTCTTGTCTGTAGTAGTCAGTAATAAATCGGAAGCAGTTTTGTGATAGAGTTGTGTATGTTATGTTTTCTGTTTCTCCGATTATGTTTTTTGTGTGTTCTGATTTTTTAATGTGGTTTGTGGTGTGGTCGCTTTCTTTGTTGGTATGTTTGTATGTCTTTTTATAATTCTTCACCAGTGGGGTGTGCCCAAACTGTGATCACTTGTTTCCACCATTACAGTAATAGTTCCAACAAGAAACCACCAATGAACAGTGATGCTTACTTGATATCAACAAAATGTCAAATCTCAGAAATTAATTTCCATCCACATTGTGACCAACTGACAAAGAGAAAGACACATGCACATCAGCCATAGAGGTATGGAATGTGTGTCTCATCACCACAGAGGTGCATGTATGCCACCAGCATGAATGGAATATGCATCACACAAAGATGTGTGCAAGGATAGTGTGTAATGTCCTGTATCGTAATACGCTCCACCACTCCATAATTCCTGTAGCATCCTTTTCCTGGTCGCCTGGGCCCAGTGCTTGGTTACTCTGTCTCACCCAGCATTGCAGCTCACATTGTGTTTTGGCCTGAATTTCTTTGTGTTTATTTGTCTTTGGAACTAAATTCCTTTTCTGTTCAGCAACACTGCTCAATCCTGCTGTGGATTTCACTTTGTATAATTATTATTTTTTCCCCTGGAATGCTGCCCGTATTGTTATCACTACATTCATCTTGCTATTCATTAATGGTATTGTCTTTATTTTACTTGTCTTTGTGCCCTGCATTATCTAGTTTGACCTACTTCACCTTTGTGGTAGTTGTTTCTTTGTTGTCCAGTTGTGGGGAGGGTTTTGTGCACAATCCCTTGTTTTCCCATCTGTCTGAATAAGGTTAGAATATGCAGAAGTATAATTTTATCTCTTATTNTCCCCTCTGTGATATTCTACCAGTCTCTATACCCTACTGATACTGGTGTGTGCCATCAGTCCCGACTCAGCCAGCGAGTTCGGCCTCTACTGGCTCAGCGGTATCTCTCGATGATTCCCCGATCTATCAGAGGCATTAGAGACTACTGTTGGGCGGGAAATTTCCGATCAATTTGGCTCAGTGGTCCCCTTGGGACATGAGGTTCCTTTATGTGCCGTAAAGCTACAACACAGGACACACGGCTTAAAGTCCCTCCTGAAGGACTTGTTCCCTGAATTTTTCCGCCCTTAAAAATTCCACGACCTCCGCCGGGTTTGAACCCGCGTACCTTGAGTCATGAGGTGGGAACATTACCCCTAGACTACGGAGGCCACTTTTTATTGGTGTTACATATGGCTGTGGAACATGGCCATTATGGGAAGAACATAGATTGATAGACTGATAGATGATAGTTGTACCTAAGCAAGGATATCTGACTGGAGATGGTTTTAGTTGCTAGATCTTAGAGAAATGGGATGCAAAGTAGTGGACTTGGTTCATCTAACACAGATTGAAATTCAGTGGTATGCTTTTGTGAACACGGTAATTGTTATAGGCTTGAATGTGTTATACACATGTTAAATTGGGGGGGGGGTATTGCAAAGGTTCTGTTGCAAGCAGAATGAAATGTATTTGTAAAATTCAAAATGGAAATACATAGGGTATCAAGGGGGTACATTACATGGCTCTTAAGTCTTGAGTAGGTATGCTCTGAAATTTTTCTTGAACAGGCACGTGACATACTTTATACATAACTTTTAGTTTATGGAATAACTCATTTGTGCATAAGCTGTTAGTTGGATTTGGTTGAAACTGTTTTATTTATTAAGTAATATAAGCTGTATGGCTGTTTGATAATTATTAGCTGTACAGTTCACATATTAGTTAAAATATTGAAGATAATAGCAGCTCATCTTTTCTGTGGTTCAGGAGGTGTGTGAGCATTGACTTCAGAAGCTGCAGCATGGGGTATTACAGCTGCACGTTATTCATGCATGTTGTTTGAATGACAGTTGATCAGTGGAATTGTGTTCTGATTCTGCGTATTTTATTACCACACTTTCCACTTTTTTCCCCTCATCAGTTCTTCCATGTACTTCTTCACCTTCAGTGGTTTCTCAGTATTTTTAAAAGAATGCTGTCACTTCAGCTGGAAACAACCGTTTCTTCACCCTTTGAATAAAACATGGCTACATCAGCTTCAATAATAAATTCTTAAAACTTTTTATTCCCTGTTTTGGAGTTTCTGCACGTGGATAGTAAAGAACTTGCATGTTAATCCACACCATATTCATTAGTGAAAATACCACTGCAGTTGGCCATCCGTATGTAATATGAGTTTGCAGAAAATGCATTTCATATTTTGCCAACCATACTGTAGTTCTGAATGGCTGGTAGATTATTGTCTCTTAAAGTTTTTAGGCCATTTCGTTCACTTTCACATCTCTTATCGTTTTATATGATAACTTTCTTTGCTTCAGATTTATTGCCTTCTGTGGAATTTTTAGCAGATCCTCCTTGAAGTATTCTCACAGTATCTTCATCTATTACAAACCCCAAGAAATGCTAAGAACGTAATGTGGTGCAACACAAGCCTGGGGAGCGAACACACGCATGCATGTACGTTCCCTTCTGGACACTTCTCTACTTTACCCTCCTCCCCCCAACAGCTTCTGTATTATTTATGAACTGTCCAGTCCATCCTGCTACCCAGAGACAACCAGGAACGTGCAGGATGTTTCCAGAATAAGCACACCAGGATAAGAGGACAGTTCAGTTTGATCATGAGCTTGGAAGCAGCTTTGTTTATAAGAAAACAGGCATGAAATAGTGTGTGGTGAGATGAGAAATTTGTTTGGCGCTGACAGTGAGATGTGAGAAGGCAGTGCTTTGGTGTACAGTGAGGTATTAGTCTGTCATCAGGGTCTTAAGTGGCTGCTGACAGTGAGACAGTGAGTGTTCGAGAACACGATAAACATTCCCAACATTTTATGGAACCCAGAGACTCATTATTCTGTTCACAAGCTCCCACCACAGGTCTCATATCTTGAACCAGATTATTCCAGTCCATGCTACTCCATTCTGTTTTTCTAAGATCCATTATAATATTGTAACGTGTGTTGGGTTACTGAAGACGCCGTTTGGATTGTTAATTGGTTTATTTAACAACCTACAAGTCTTGGCTACAATTAATTATAACACTGTTACGGGTTTCCACAATTTACAAACTGTACACAATATTCTATTCACTCTGTCTTCAGTAGTCTACACGTATGCACAGTATGGGAGCTATATAAGTGTCACTGTATCACACACTCCCAATTATTTCTCAGTTATCACAAACTATCACTGATTATCACACACGTGTCCGGTTGTTCTTTCCGCGACTGCTGCTAGATTCCAGCTGTCTTCGTAGGCAGTGTAGTTCTCTTATAAACCCTCAGCGGGACAACGGGAAATGCCTCGCTTCCTTGTTGCCTATTCGCCGTGTTTACAGGTGTTACTGGCAACGCTGTCGGGAGTTGTTTACGGCTGCATAGCAATCGCGGCATCCCTTGGTCACATCACCGCTGGCAGGGTAGTGGAAGGAGTGTTGACTTGCCTGTTACCCTAGTAACGACAGCGCTCCAATGCCAACACATCACCGCTGGTGAGGGAGGGGTTGTCCTTCATAGCGCAACACATCACAATATTATCCTCCCACCTGTGTCTAGGTCTTGTTAGTGGCCCCTTTTCTTCTGGCTTTCCCAACAAAACCATGTATGCATTCCTCTTCAACCCCATGTATGCTGCATTCCCTTCGCATTTCACCCTTCTTGACTGTATTATTATAATTATGCTTGGCAGAGAGTAAAATTTCTGAAGCTAATTATTATGCAGTTCTCTCAACCCTCCTGTTCATACCTCTTCAGTCCAGATGTTCCTCTCAGTATGCTGTTCTCATTCGAGTATACCCGCATTTCTGGGGTTACATTAACTACTGAATCTAAAACATTATATTTTATATTACATTCTGTTCCCCTCTGTAACTGTACGGTAAATAAATTAATGTTGTTTATCATTGACTAAGATACTGGGACAATGAATGTAATATGTGTGATATAATCATCCGTTTATTACATTTAGCATGTAGACCTGTAGCTAAATAATGACTATAAACAACGCCGTTGCTAGGCAACGACCGTGGAATGAGCGAATATACAGCAGCCATTGCTGAATAACGGCTTTGCAGACAAACGTATTCCCATGGATATGATTGAAGTACAACTGATGATCGATCCGTGCTGAGGTATTATAAGCATGACAACTTTAGAGCTTAGTCATTTTCCCACATGGAGGCAGGATGGAATACTTCTGCCCCAGCCCTGCTAGCCCCTCAGGACTCGGATCCAAGAATGACTATGCTGGTGAGGACCAGCAGAAATTCTAAACAACAGACCTGCTCTCTTGTCAGAGAAAGCACCCTACACCAAAAAATCCGCAACTCTCTTGGTAGTAATAAAAGATCTGTTCGTAAGTCCCAGATAGGTGCTTTATTCTAAGACAGACTGGCCAACTGACTGTCAGTCATAACGTAAGAATCAGACTCAGCTTAATCATTTGTGAGACATTCGCCAGCTAGTAAAGACGTAAGCAGAAGATATTGTTAGGAGCCGTTGCCAGGACACGGCTAATGAAAACAAACAGAAGATTTAGCATGTGCTGTAATGAGAAGATGAGTGCATGAATTAGCGAAAGCGTTATTGTAGTTACATTCTGCAAGTGATCAATAAATCCGGTCACCCAATCCAAACCCCATTTATAGTAAATCCATAAAATCGTGACAGTGTAGTGTAAATAATATTTAACTGACAGAGAGACCATTGTTATCTTTGAATAAGGCTTGTAATATCTTTTCAATTGTAATTTCGTGTGAGGTAAAATGTTTGTTTAAAAACTTCTGAAAGAAAACATGGTTGCTTTTTTAATGAATTTTCTATATCTGTCAGTGTGTAACTGTTTTGAATCTCAAAGCCCTATACTTTGTTCATTTTGAATTCATACTCTTAAGTGTGTTTTCTGTTCCCTTCAGTGTACATATTTCATCTGCGAAAGAACGGTTGTATGCATAAGATACACAGTATTTTTTCTTATAAGTTTCTGAATAGTTCTGAAATTTATGGGATGTTCAGAGAACTTCATTAGGGAGATCCTCATTTTTCTCATATTACTAGGAAGTGTGAGATGCTAATGATATCTGTATTATAATTGCAGACACATATTCCACTCATGGCTCAAGGTCCATGGTGTAGAAACATTGGCGACCGTTTCATTCCTACACGTGCTGGAAACAACTGGCAGATTAAATTTGCCATGAGCACAGTGAGTATTTTGAATAATGTATATGTTTTGTGCTAATGAATTTGCTTAATAATAACTTTGGCTTCGTTATGAATAAAATAAGTTGTGCATTCTGTTGGGGTGTTAATGCATGTGTGTCTGGTGAGTTCTTGGCATGATCAGTTCGTGTGGTCTACCAGCAGTTCCTGTAGGTGAGCAATGTGGTGTTCTGCTGCTGATATGGGAAGCCCACTCTGCTGCTTTTCCTTTAATACACCACTTCAGATATTGCTGCAACAAAAGGAGCGCTCTAGTGACGCATGCCCCCTATCTGGTGGATCACATGGGCTGTGTGGAATCAGGATTATTGCATCACTGGCACTGTTACTGCTGTTTATTTAATGGCCTTTGCATAATCAGAACTTAATTGTGAAGAGTGAAAATGGTAACTGTCAGTTTCTTGAGCTTTTGGGAACTAACACTGTTTCCAAGATATGGTCAGCCCCCTTGTCTGAAGAATACAAAAATAATGACTTTTGGAGGCAGTTATGCATTGATAAAAGTCTTATTATAATTGAGTAGCTAGTAAATTTTAACTGCTTACCATGTTCTGTATCACATAGTTATGACCAAAACTAATAAGGCTGATAAGTACATGTGCTTGTATTCTAAGAAAAGTGTGGCAGTACCTGTGTTAATGGGTCTGAAAGTTTAACACTAAATACAGTTGATAGAAGGTGGGTTGAAACAGTGAAGATTTGTGAGTAAGTGGACATAACTTTTGTGATCATAAACACAGTAGTATGATAGGCACCCAGTTGGGAAGTTTTAATTTAGAAGAAAGAATGCAAAGCCTAATGGTGTGAACATCTTCTGTGGATGATTATGATAGGCACCCAGTTGGGAAGTTTTAATTTAGAAGAAAGAATGCAAAGCCTAATGGTGTGAACATCTTCTGTGGATGATTATGATAGGCACCCAGTTGGGAAGTTTTAATTTAGAAGAAAGAATGCAAAGCCTAATGGTGTGAACATCTTCTGTGGATGATATGCCATAGGATAGCCCAAAGAATTATGCAGTGTAAACGTGCAGGATATAGAGGCATAGGATAATGTATAAGAAGTTGTGAGAATTTGTTCTGAGATGGAATGGTCCTGATGCTCACCTTGCAGCTCATGATGATACTGATGATAGTGGATCATGATTTCTTTATGTAGTATGAAAGTCACATGCATGGAGTGTGCATGAGAATGGCAGCAGTCTGTGTGTGTGGAAACAGTACAAGAGGTTTTGTAGGTTCTGGAAGACTCATGATAGGGAATTCGGTATTGTAAGTAAGGTGCATTATGCACTTTAATTTTCATTTAAAATTTAATGCCGTTTAATTGAATATTGACAGAGATTAGGAGACTCAATTCACCGTTATTTTAACAATTCTCAGCTGTTAAAACTACTCTTAAATTGAACAAAAGTGAATGGGGAAAAATTGAATCCATTAAGGAACCGTCTTTTACAGTATCTCTCGTTTTACACTTTAAAAACTCTCCCCCCATTTTTAAAGGATCGTAACTCTCACACAGTCTTAACCAAAGAACTGTGTGTTATCCCTGTATTTTGTTTACTTAATCTGTTATTTTGGGGGCACGCGGTAGTGTAGTTGGTTGAGGTACTATGCTACAAGCCGGAAGGTTGCAGAGTAAAATCCCGATGAGGTGGATTTTTCCAATTTATCTAATCCTTCCAGCCGCACTATGGCCCTGGAGTCGATTCAGCCTCTAACAGAAGTGAGTACCAGGAATATTCTTGGGGGTTAAGGGCGGCCGGTGCTTAAGGCTGACAACCTTACCGCCATCTATGAGCCATTTGTCTAGAAAATGTGGGAACCTCAGCATCTCAAAACTCTATCGGCCTCTACGGCCTTTTACAGGGATACCTTTACTTACTTTGCCTTTGAAATTTGTCTGTTTTTAAATATAGGAGAATAGTGGAGGCTATCGTGATGGATTGGTGTACCCTTGCCTACTGAAGAATGAACTTCTAGGTGCCAGCATTGAAGACGTTAAATGCCAGTATGATGAGAGAAGGACATTGGTCCCACTCAGGGAATCAAATCTCTTTCAGGTATGGCAGCTTTACATTAGTATTTTTAGTTCAGGGAATAATAGTAACATTTATTTAATTATTTAGGTATATTATTGCTTGAAGAGAATTGTCATCTGGGCTCTAGTGCTATATAGTCCGATGAAAGCCAACCAACGTTTTGGAAGAATCTATCAGCACCATCTTCCATGTTTAAGAGTAAGCCAAGAAAGAAAGCATTGTGAAATATGGAGCAAGCTCTGGTTACTCTTTGTCCATGATGCTAGAGGTGATGTGTCCCACCAGAATGTCAGTTGATTTTCACCAAACTGTATGGTGTAATATCTGAGATGTTAGAACTCTAGTCACCACTGTGAGAACCTCATATCAGGCATATTTTTACATCTGTGCTCACCAATGTTGGTATTTTTTGTTTTATTGTGTAGACCATTTAATGTGCTGCATTAGTTGCAGAGGTTATGTACATTCAGTTGAGATGTGAGGATAGTAAGAAATTGTAATTCGGGAGTTAAGTAGGAAGGCAGTAGTTAAAGTCACACACATTCTCTTGTAACAACAGAGAAACTGGAAAATGTCTGAGTGGACAGTTGGTACCCCTGCTGAGATAGGCATGCCCACTGGCATGGTTTCTTTGGCAGATATGCTGGAGTCTGTTTTGCGTGATGATGAGAATGCCTTGATTGCCATACTGCTTGGTCCTGTCCGCCCAAAATATTTATGTAGAATAAATAAATGCTCCCAGATTTTCACAAAAGCTCAGACTTAATACATTACGCTTGCTCTCCAATAAGGTAACTATTTCATACTTAATTTGGTGTCATTTTACTACTACAGATGTAACCGACATCTCTTAAACTGGTAGATATCCAACAATTGTCAAATCATGGCTCTGAGCTGGTTGTCACTGATTAAGAAGTTTGAAAAAGTGTTTGAGAACACAGTTTGTTGTGTTTTTCTTTTTGTTTGTGAATTATTTCATAATGTATGCATTGAGATGTTATGTAGCTCAGAATCTAAATGAATGTCAGAAAAATCGGTAAGGTAAATTTGACCCTGTCCTTAACTAATTAAGCACTACGCCATGAAGGTGTATGAGGGAGTGGATGTATAGATCTACATTTTCTTGATCTCAGCCTCAAACCCTAGCTGCTTTCAGCAGTGCTGCTTAATTGCACCTTCATCACATATCCAGGTATCCATAACGAAACATGAAAACCAAATGAATCAGTCATAGCTAGGTTATGACACTCTAGCCATGCAATGGCATCTTTAAACAAGGATTTGTTAGTATCCAGTGGCTGGTAAACAACACATTAGGGGGTGCTTTCTATGTGGTTGGCACCATTTTCTGTGCAGTCCGACCTGAAGCTATAACATGAGGTCTGATGAAGGTCGTGAGTTGCATTTGAGTCAACAGTTGAGTTAGTTGGTTGAGAGGCACTCACCACCCAGTAACGATGTCTGCAGAATGGGGACATTGTTGGGATCCATTACCAGGCAGTAGCTAGTGAAGACACAGGGGACTTAGTATGTGCTGTAGTAAGAAGTCTTGTGCATCAATTAGGGAGAGTGTTGTAGTTATAGTGTTTAAGTGTTGCATAAATCCAATTGCCAATCCAAACCCAGTGTAGTCACTAATGCATGACAATACCATTGCAGAATGAGCAGAATCCCATTTTGCTGTTGTGCAAGTATGCTGTCATATCCTCCTACAAACATGCCACTTCCTGTACTTCTGAATGAATGGTGGAGCATATAGAGTTAATTATGAATTGTGATTGTATTATTTTGGGCCAGTATGATAACATTGATTTAGAGAGGAATGCATGATTGATTTGCAGTTATCAGAAGAGTGTGTTGCTTTAAATACAGGCAGTAGATTGGCCACGTTTATTGGTATGTGCATTTTAAATAGATTCACTATCTGTTACTAGAGAGTCATTAATTTGTTCTTTCAGTACTCCTTACCAAATAGGAGGGGAAGTAACACATCATCACTGGCTTGCTATTCTTTGTCACCAGTTAGTGCAGTAAGCCAGAAGCTGCTTACATCTGCAAGAAAAGAAACAAAGAAAATATCACCAAAGCCCTTCAAGGTACTGTAATAATGTTTAACTCTGGTCATATATATATATAGTTTATATTGCTTTTAATTTGCTATAATTCACAAATGAAGTATTTGCCTAGAGCACATCCTTTGTGTCATGTCCAGTTTCCCACTGATCAGTAACTAAGACTGACATGGTTTAGGTGATGTTACTGAGAGTTGATATTGCCAATATACTCCTTTTTCTTGAAGGTGTTGGATGCTCCTGGCCTGCAAGACGACTTTTACCTCAGCCTTATGGATTGGTCTTCGCAAAATATATTAAGTGTGGGATTGGAAGGCTGTGTGTATCTTTGGTCTGCCTTCACTAGCCAAGTCACAATGTCGTTTGATTTATCTTCAGATGGCAACTATGTAACTTCAGTTGCATGGAATAAGCAGGTAAGTCATATTTCCATGTCATTTTTATGTAGGATGGTAAAATGCATCTCTGTTCTCTGTTAATTTCAATTTGATTATTGCTTATTATGTTAACAGGGTACAGGTATTAAATGTAAAGTTAGCTGCTGCAGTCGGTCTTGAATAAAGCAAAATTATGCATTGTGTATTTGTTTGTAGTTTTTTTTT